TGTTTTGGCCTTCAACTCCCAGAAATCCTAACATCTAGTAAACTGGTTGGGATTTCTGGGAGTTGTAGGCCAAAACACCTGGGGACCCACAGGTTGACAACCACTGTTCTATGGCAAGTTGTTCATTGCATTGCCCTTTGACAACACCTTCTGTTCAGCCTTACATTGCAAGCTATACTTTACATTGCCCTTTGACACCACCTAGCATTATTATATTATTATAATATATTATTATAGCTTCATCTATTCCGTCCTCGTCCTGGTGTCAGCCGCCTTGTACCTCTCTGGGGTGGAGGCCTACCTTGCCGTCATGGTCTTCGCCTTGGTCTTGGGCTGGATGAACGCCCTCTACTTCACCCGTGGCCTCAAGCTGACAGGGACATACAGCATCATGATCCAGAAGGTGAGGAGGAGGATCTAGATGAACTTGGGAGGGCACCTGTTTGGTCTAAGTGACTCCCTTTCAACTTTAGTTCATTTCTTCCCATATCTAGATCCTCTTCAAGGATCTCTTCCGCTTCTTGTTGGTCTATGTCCTCTTCATGATTGGCTACGCTTCAGGTAAGGATAGATGACCTTTAGGGAACCCTAAGAGAACCATAAATCGTTGGGATGGGGATGGCATTGTTTAACAACATACTTCCCCCCCTCAAGGGTATTTGAGGTACCATTTTAATATCGCCTTGCATCCAAAGTCTCCTTCTGACTCTACTTGGTCTAGATGACATTTAGGGTTCCTTCTACTTGGTCTAAATGACCTTTAGGGTTCCTTTCTGACTCTAGTTGGTATAGATGACCTTTAGGCTCCCCTTCCGACTCTAATTGGTCTAGATGACCCTTAGGATCCCCTTTGACTTGGTGTATAGAGTCTCTTTCTGACTCTACTTGGTCTAGATTACTCTTAGGGTTCCCTTTACTAGATGACCTTTAGGGTTCCAACTCTACTGTGTTTGCCCTCCAGCCTTGGTCTCCCTGCTGAACCCATGCCCAAACGCTGACCGTTGCTCGAACTGTACGGCCCCATCCTACCCTTCCTGCCGGGATAGCCAGACCTTCAGCAGCTTCCTGCTGGACCTCTTCAAGCTAACCATCGGCATGGGTGACCTGGAGATGATTGAGAATGCCAAGTACCCGGGGGTCTTCGCTGTCCTGCTGGTCACCTACATCATCCTCACCTTTGTCCTCCTCCTCAACATGCTCATCGCCCTCATGGGGGAGACCGTGGGACAGGTCTCTAAGGAAAGCAAGCAGATCTGGAAGCTCCAGGTGAGCCAGGAGAGAAAGAGACAGCGCCCCATGCAAAACATGATTGCTTGTGGCGACACCTACTGGTCATGGCTATATTGCAAGCTCATAGTCTTCTATGGCAAGCTATTGATTGCATTACCCTTTGGTGCAATCTGTTGTTGTTCATTCGTTCAGTCGTCTCCGACTCTTTGTGACCTCATGGACCAGCCCACGCCAGAGCTCCCTGTCGGCCGTCACCACCCCCAGCTCCTTCAAGGTCGGTCCAGTCACTTCAAGGATGCCATCCATCCATCTTGCCCTTGGTCGGCCCCTCTTCCTTTTACCTTGGTGCAATCTAGTGTTACTTTATTATGTAATTATTATTAGTTTATTTATATTATTATTATTATTATTATTATTATTATTGTATTACTATTATTTTTTTAAAGATACAAAAAAAATAGTAAAATTATTTTTTGCATTTTACTATTATTTTGCTTTTGAACTGTGCTGTTGGAGGAAAATTCTGAAAGTGCCTTGTACCGCAAGAAGATCCAACCAGTCCATACATCAGGAAATAAAGCCTGACTTCTCATTGGAGGGAAGGATATTACAGGCAAAGATGAAGTGCTTTGGCCATATCATGAGAAGACAGGAAAGCTTAGAGAAGACAACAGTGCTGGGGGAAATGAAAGGAAAAAGGAAGAGGGGCAGACCAAGGGCAAGATAGACGGATGGTATCCTTGAAGGGACTGGCTTGACTCTGAAGGAGCTGGGGGTGGTGATGGTCGACAGGGAGTTCTGGCATGGGCTGGTCCAGGAGATCACGAAGAGTCAGAAGCAACTGAACTAATAAACAACAAATTATTATTTTATTGTATTGTCGAAGGCTTTCATGGCTGGAATCACTAGGTTCTTGTGGGTTTTTTCGGGCTATAGGGCCATGTTCTAGAGGCATTCTCTCCTGACGTTTCGCCTGCATCTATGGCAAGCATCCTCAGAGGTAGTGAGGTCTGTTGGAACTAGGAAAATGGATTTATATATCTGTGGAAAGACCAGGGTGGGGCAAAGAGCTCTTCCCTGCTGGAGCTAGGTGTGAATGTTTCAACTGACCACCTTCATTAGCATTTGAAGGCCTGGCTGAGCCTGGGAAAATCTTTTGTTGAGAGGTGTTAAGATGTGCCTGGTTGTTTCCTCTCTGCTGTTTTGCTGTTGTAATTTTAGAGTTTTTTAATACTGGTAGCCAGATTTTGTTCATTTTCATGGTCTCTTCCTTTCTGTTGAAATTGTCCACATGCTTGTGGCTTTCAATGGCTTCTCTGTGTAGTCTGACATGGTGGTTGTTGGTGTGGTCCAGCATTTCTGTGTTCTCAAATAATATGCTGTGTCCAGGTTGGTTCATCAGGTGCTCTGCTATGGCTGACTTCTCTGGTTGAAGTAGTTTGCAGTGCCTTTCATGTTCCTTGATGCGTGTCTGGGCGCTGCGTTTGGTGGTCCCTATGTAGACTTGTCCACAGCTGCATGGTATACGGTAGACTCCTGCAGAGGTGAGAGGATCCCTCTTGTCCTTTGCTGAACGTAGCATTTGTTGGATTTTCTTGGTGGGTTTGTAGATTGTTTGTATGTTGTTTCCTCATCAGCTTCCCTATGTGGTCAGTGGTTCCCTTGATGTATGGCATTATTTTATTACTATTATGTTATTAAAGTGTTCCCTCACTTATCGCGGGGGTTACGTTCCAGGACCCCCAGAGATAAGTGAAAACCGCAAAGTAGGGACACCCCATCCCCTTCCCTCCAATGCCCTCTTTACCTTACTCTTCCTCTTCCTCTTCCTCATCACCGCCGGGGCCTCTTGCCACCGCTTGGACCCTGCGATTGAGGAGGTGGCGGAGGTGTCGCGGGGCCCAAGCAGCAGCAAGAGGCCCTGGCGGCGATAAAGAGGAGGAAGAGAAAGGTAAAGAGGAGGGAAGAAGAGCCGTCCCCTCGCCCTCTTTACCTTCCTCCTCCTCTTCCTCTTCCTTGCCCCCGCTGGGGTCTCTTGCTGCCGGGGTGCAGCACGGCGCCAGCCCTCTTTCCAGTGGTGCCTTGCGTGGCGTGTGTCTGTTGGAGGTGAGTCCTGCACTATCTACCTCGGTCTTCCGCCTTCTCCTCTTCACTTACGTGACGGCTGCCCCTCTCTCCCCGCTGAGGTTCAGGGCTCCAGCTGAGAGATCTGTCTGCCTCCTTTTGCCCTCATGATCCCCGGTGGAAGGTCCCTCATCCTGTCGCGAGGTGAGCTCTTCCAGTGGTGATGATGGGAATTGCAGTATTTTCTACTTTGCGGTCCTGTTCAACATCTTTATTAATGACTTTAATGAAGGGTTAGAAGGCATGATCATCAAGTCTGCAGACGACACCAAATTGGGAGAAATAGCCAATACTCCAGAGGACAGGAGTAGGATTCAAAACAATCTTGACAGATTAGAGAGATGGGCCAAAACTAACAAGTTCAACAGGGACAAATATAAGATACTCCACTTAGGCAGTAAAATGAAATACAAAGATACAGAATGGGGACGTCTGGCTTGAGAGCAGTACATGTAAAAAAGATCTTTGAGTCCTCATGGACAACAAGCTTACTTGTCCGAATGTGATGTGGCGGCAAAAAAAGCCAATGGGATTTTGGCCTGCATCAATAGGAGCATAGTGTCTAGATCTAGGAAGTAATGCTACCCCTCTATTCCGCTTTGGTCAGACCACACCTGGAATATTGTGTCCAATTCTGGGCACCACAATTCAAGAGAGATATTGACAAGCTGGAATGTGTCCAGAGGAGGGCGACTAAAATGATCAAGGGTCTGGAGAACAAGCCCTATGAGGAGCGGCTTAAGGAGCTGGGCATGTTTAGCCTGAAGAAGAGATGGCTGAGAGGAGATATGATAGCCATGTATAAATATGTGAGAGGAAGCCACAGGGCAAGCTTGTTTTCAGCTTCCCTGGAGACTAGGATGTGAAACAATGGCTTCAAACTACAAGAGAGGAGATTCCATCTGAACATGAGGAAGAACTTCCTGACTGTGAGAGCCGTTCAGCAGTGGAACTCTCTGCCCCGGAGTGTGGTGGAGGCTCCTTCTTTGGAAGCTTTTAAACAGAGGCTGGATGGCCATCTGTCAGGGGTGATTTGAATGCAATATTCCTGCTTCTTGGCAGAATGGGGTTGGACTGGATGGCCCATGAGGTCTCTTCCAACTCTTTGATTCTATGATTCTATGATTCACTCACTTCCAGGCACCACTGAATGATGCACCTGGACCAAATTTGGTACACTGACTCCCTGATGTTTTTGTCCTGCTGAGAGTTGGGGAGGATGGACCACAGACAATAAGACTTGCAGTACCTTTACCACTTCCAGAGACCCCTGCGACCCTCATGAATGATAGATCTGGACCAAATTTGGGACACAAAACCCCCATGACAAACAGGACATACTGGAGGGGTTTGGGGGACTGACTCACCCGCATTGGTGTTATAGTTCATCTGTATCCAGAGCACTCTGAATCCCACCAATAACGGATCTGGCCCAAACTTTGAACAAAGAACCCTAGTGACCAACACAACATACTGTAAGAGTTTGGAGGATATCTAACCCACCCGCGTGGTAGTTGTAGTTCACCCTGCACCAGGAGAGCATTCTTAAGCCCCATTGGCAGATCTGGAACACACGTGGCACACAAAACCCTGATGGCTAGCAGAACATACTGGAGGGGTTAGGTTGAGAATGATCCACTCATGTGGGAGTTGTAGTTCACCCTGCATCCAGGGCACTCTGAACCCCCTCAGTGACGGATATGAACCTAACATGTCGAACTGTGAATACAGGCAGACTTTGGGGATGATTGTCCTCAGAATCTGGGAGTTGTAGTTCACCCGCTTCCATGGAAACTGTGACCCACACCGAAAATGGACTGGGACCAAATTTGGCACAGAGAAGCCCCATGACCAACTGAACATACTGCTGGGGGTTTGTGGGACTTGACCTTAATTTTGGAGTTGTAGTTCACCTGCATCCAGAGAGCACTGAACCCAGACAACATTGGATCTGGACCACACTTGGCACATCCTTATATATTTTCTAATGGGAGCATTCATAAACAACAAAATTAAAGACTGGCTTTTTTCTAATCAATAGTGTTACTAATTACATTATGGCCTTTCACCTCAAAACAAACAATGCCTTTTTCAAATAACCCGGGCACCACTGGGTATTCAAACTAGTAATACAGTAATAAAATAATAATATAATAATAAAATAGCAATAAAATAATATAATAAACTAGCTGTCCCCTTCCACACGTTGCTGTGGCCCAGTCTGGTGATCTGGAAAATAAAGTAATGAGAAAGTGTTGGTTTCTAATATATGTAATTCCTTTCTGCTTGTGAGTAAACAGTATTTCTTGTTGTTTCTTTGTCAGTGTTGATGTGGAGAGTGTCTGGTTTGCCTACTCTGGAACATGCAACATATCATAGTCCTTCTTTAAGGGTCTCTTTCAAATCTATGATACTATATCTGTGTGTGTGTGAGAGAGAATCATATCTATCTATCTATATTTATGACTGGATGGCTCTTTGTCAGGAGGGCTCTGATTACATTTTCTTGCCCTGGTGAAGAGAGTTGGACTGGATGGCCTTAAGTATTTTCTGTTGGTCATGGGTGTTCTGTGTGGGAAGTTTGCCCCATTTCTGTCGTTTGTGGGTTTCAGAATGCTCTTTAATTGTAGTGAACTATAAATCCCAGTAAGTACAAATCCCAAATGTCAAGGTCTATTTCCTCCAAACTCCATCTGTGTTCATATTTGGGCATATGGAATATTTGTGTCAAGTTTGGTCCAGATCCATCATTGTTTGAGTCCACATTGCTCTCTGGATGTAGGTGAACTACAACTCCCAAACTCAAGGTCAATGCCCACCAAACCCTTCCAGTGTGTTCTGTTGTCATGGAAGTCCTGTATGCCATGTTTGGTTGAATTCCATCATTGGTGGAGTTCAGAATGCTCTTTGATTGTAGGTGAACTGTAAATTTGTATCAAGGTTGGTTCAGATCCATCATTGTTTGAGTCCACAGTGCTCTCTGGATGTAGGTGAACTACAACTCCCAAACTCAAGGTCAATGCCCACCAAACCCTTCCTGATTGTAGGTGAACTATAAATCCCAGCAACTACAACTCCCAAATGTCAATGTCTATTTCCCTTAAACTCCATCTGTGTTCATATTTAGGCATATGGAATATTCGTGCCAAGTTTGGTCCAGATCCGTCATTGTTTGACTCCACAGTGCTCTCTGGATGTGGGTGAACTACAATTCCCAAACTCAAGGTCAATGTCCACCAAACCTTTCCAGTTTTTTCTGTTGGTCATGGGAGCCCTGTGTGCTAAGTTTGGCCCAATTCCATCATTGGTGGAGTTCAGAATGCTCTTTGATTGTAGGTAAACTATAAATCCCAGCAGCGACAATTCCCAAATGACAAAATCAATTTTTTTGAGTGGAGGACATAAATTGGACTGTTAGGTGTCTTGTGTCCAAATTTGGTGTCATTTCCTCCAGTGGTTTTTGAGTTCTGATGGTAGCACGAACTAACATTACATTTTTATTTATATAGATAATAAAGTAACACTAGGTGGCGCCAAAGTTCAATGCAATGAATAGCTTACCATAGAAGACTATGAGCTTGCAATATTGGACTGAACAGTAGATGTTGCCAAAGGGTAACGTAAAGTAATCATATAATGTTATCATTGAGTTGGAAGAGACCTGGTGGGCCATCCAGTCCATCCCCATTCTGCCAAGAAGAAGGAAAATCGCATTCAAAGCACTCCTGACAGGTGACCCTTCAACCTCTGCTTCAAAGCCTCCAAAGAAGGAACCACCACCACATTCTGGGGCAGAGAGTTCCACTGTTGAACAATTCTCTCGCACAGTGACGTTGTTCTTCCTCATGTTCTGGTGAAATCTCCATTGAAGCCATTGTTCTGCATCCTAGTCTCCAGGGCAGCAGAAAACAAGCTTGTGCCCTCCTCCCTATGGCTTCCCCTCACATGGCCATCATGAATAAATATGGAAACATATGGAAACATGTTTATATTTATAAACAAACAGGAAACAAACACTCATTCAACTGATAGCTTCAAAGAGCAGGGGATAATTACTCACTTAACTGCTGACCTGAAACTGTCAATCACTGCTGGCTGAAGTATTCAGCCTTGTCTTCAAAACAAAACACTCACTCACATAGCTTTCTGGTGCCCCTAGCAGAGCAGCTATCCTTAAACTACAGGAGTCAACCACACACTCAGATTTCGAATGCACTCTAAGATAAGGCTTACCTGGAGCAAAGATGGCTTCTTGCGTCCTTAAAATAACAAATTAATAATAACAATAATAATAATATTTCCTAGTGGGCGACCACCATCTTGGACATCGAGCGGTCCTTCCCAGTGTTTCTTCGCAAGGCCTTCCGGTCGGGAGAAATGGTGACGGTGGGCAAGTCTCAGGATGGCACCCCCGACCGACGGTGGTGTTTCAGGTAAGGAGGGGGTTGGTCTAGATCCGTGATGGTGAACCTATGACACGCGTGTCAGCACTGACACGCATGGCTATTTTTGATGACACGTGGCTGCATACAGAGAAGTACACCTTATAAGAGCCAATCTAATTCCATCCTTAAATTTGTAAAAGGCTCTACAAATTTAACATCTGCACGTTTGAGAATTGTTCACTCCATAACTCAGCATGGAATATACATTTTTCTTATTTAAACTATAAATATTGCAAAATTATGCTGTTTTTTTCTCGAAGTTGACACCCCACCCAACATATACTCAGGTTTTGGCAAATTTTGACACACCAAGCTCAAAAGGTTGCCCATCACTGGCCTAGATGATTGCTATTTTATTATTTTACTTTATTATTATTATTATTATTATTAAATTATTACCTTACATTGCCCTTTTGCGGCATCTAGTGTTCAGTTTTATATTGCAAGCTTATAATCTTCTATGGCTAGCTATTCAGTCCATTGTCCTTTGGTGACACTTAGTATTCAGTCCTATATTGCAAGCTCATAGTCTTCTATGTCAAGGCAATCATTGCATTGCCCTTTAGTGCCACCTAGTGTTTGGCCTTATATTGCAAGCTCATAGTCGTCTATGTCAAGGCAATCATTGCATTGCCCTTTAGTGCCACCTAGTGTTCGGCCTTATATTGCAAGCTCATAGTCTTCTTTCAAGGCAATCATTGCATTGCTCTTTAGTGCCACCTAGTGATTGATCTTGTATTGCAAGCTCATAGACTTCTATGGCAAGGCAATCATTGCATTGCCCTTTAGTGCCACCTAGTGTTCGGTCTTATATTGCAAGCTCATAGTCTTCTGACAAGGCAATCATTGCATTGCTCTTTAGTGCCACCTAGTGATTGATCTTGTATTGCAAGCTCATAGACTTCCATGTCAAGGCAATCATTGCATTGCCCTTTATTGCCACCTAGTGATTGGCCTTATATTGCAAGCTCATAGTCTTCTATGTCAAGGCAATCGTTGCGTTGCCCTTTAGTGCCACCTAGTGATTGGCCTTATATTGCAAGCTCATAGTCTTCTGTGTCAAGGCAATCATTGCATTGCCCTTTAGTGCCACCTAGTGATTGGCCTTATATTGCAAGCTCATAGTCGTCTATGTCAAGGCAATCATTGCACTGCCCTTTAGTGCCACCTAGTGTTCAGCCTTATATTGCAAGCTCATAGTCTTCTGTGTCAAAGCAATCATTGCATTGCCCTTTGGTGCCACCTAGTGTTCGGCCTTATATTGCAAGCTCATAGTCTTCTATGTCAAGGCAATCATTGCATTGCTCTTTAGTGCCACCTAGTGATTGGCCTTATATTGCAAGCTCATAGTCTTCTATGGCAAGCTATTCATTGCATTGCCCTTTGTCGAAACCCAGTAGTCAGTCTTATATTGCAAGCTAAAATTATAGTATTATATTATCATATTTAATATGATTTAATGTAATATTTTATTACATATACATTTTTATTATTTTATTTTAATTATATTATATATTATTATTACTACTACTATTTTCCCAATATTGTGCTCTGTCTACCTATCTATCTATCTATATATTATGTAATATATTAATATTAAATATCTCACCTTCCCAGAGTGGACGAAGTCAATTGGTCCCATTGGAACCAGAACTTAGGCTTGATTAACGAAGATCCAGGGAAGAACGAGACCTATCAGTATCATGGCTTCTCCCAGACCGTAGGCAGGCTGCGCAGAGGTCAGCATTATTTATTTTATATTGTTATTATATATTCTATTATGTTATATTATTATATATAACTATTATCTATATTTTTATATTTTTATTTTATAGATTGTTTAAATTATATTATATACACAGGATTAAGAGTCGTATATTGTATGTGTATTATATGGAATCTATGTGTATTGTATGGCACAGGGAAGCCCAATGATCAATTGAACTGGGAGTTGTAGTTCACCTACATCCAGAAAGCAGTGAACCCAGCCAATGTCAGATCTGGACCAAACTTGACACACAGACCCAACATGGCCAACTGTGCGTATAGGCCTGGTTTGGGGGCGATTGACCTCGGATCTAGGAGTTGTAGTTCACCCTTATCCAGAGTGTCCTCAGCCAACGAGGGATCTGAGAATAAACACAGCACCCAAACCCAACATGTCCAACTGTGAATACTCTCAGGGTTGGGGGTGATTGTCGGGGAAATATGGGACTTGTAGTCCACCCTTATCCAGAGTCCTGAACTCAGCCAACGATGGATTTGGAACAAACTCAGCACACAACCCAACATGACCAACTGTGAATACTGTCAGGTTTGGGGGTGATTGTCCTGGAAATGTGAGAGTTGTAGTCCACCCTTATCCAGAGAGCCCTGAACTCAGCCAATGATGGATCTGGAACAAACTCAGCACACAAACCCAACATGTCCAACTGTGAATACTCTCAGGGTTGGGGGCGATTGTCCTGGAAATATGGGAGTTGTAGTTCACCTTTATCCAGAGTCCTGAACTCAGCCAACGATGGATCTGGAACAAACTCAACACACAACCCAACATGACCAACTGTGAATACTGTCAGGGTTGGGGGTCATTGTCCTGGAAATATGGGAGATGTAGTCCACCCTTATCCAGAGAGCACTGAACTCAACCAACAATGGATCTGGATCAAACTTAAGTGTTATTACCCAACATCCCAAAACAAACAATGCCTACTTCCAATAACCCGGGCACTGCTGAGTCCCCAAGCTAATATATGTAATGCATTCTGAAAAACTGAAATAGAACTGTAAAATATGTAGTATAGCATGTGTTGTTTTGATGTCCAATAGATGGCGCTGTTTTTCCAAAAAAGCATATTTTTACTTGTCACAGGTGAGATATCTATATAATCGTAGCAATGTAAAAACATAAAAACATGCGCCTATTCGAATGCTATGTCGTGTCAAAATTTCAAAGTAATTGGTTAAGAATTTTGGGAGATGTTAGATTTTGAACAAACATTTACATTTTTATTTATCTAGATTTAATATATATATTGTATTGGTTTTACTATACTATTGTTTTGTTGCATTACTATATTTTATAATAACTATTATATATTGTATGGTTATTGCTATATAATTATTTTACTATATTACCACATTATTTTATTATTATATATTATTATTAAAGGATCTAATAATATCTCTCTTTTCTCCTCTGTGCAGACCGGTGGTCAGCAGTGGTTCCGCGCGCAGTAGAGCTGAACAAGGCGGCTTTGGCCTCGGACCGCGAGGTGGTCATACCATTAGACCCAATGGCAGCACAAGGATCCCGGATCTAAAGACACACACACACATATATATTACATTATATATATATAATAACGGAGGAAGCATGGATGAGCTCCCTCTGTCAGCTCCAGCTCCCCATGTGGGAACATGAGAGAAGCCTCCCACAAGGATGGTAAAATATTCAGGCGCTCCCTGGGCAATGTCCTTGCAGAGAGCCAATTCTCTCACACCAGAAGCGACTTGCAGTTTCTCACATCACTCCTGACATGAAAATAAATACATAAATAACATAATTTATTTAGCCAAGAACTGTGTGGCTGTTTTTATTATTTTTAAAACAAATAAAGGATTTAACATTTGGTATTTAATTTAGAAATCTATTTTTATTTCATTTTTAATTTGCAGAAATATTATATTATATACTAGCTGTCCCCTGCCACACGTTGCTGTGGCCCAGTCTGTTGATCTGGAAAATAAAGTAATGAGAAAGTGTTGGTTTCTAATATATGTAATTTCTTTATGCTTGTGGGTAAACATTATTTCTTGCTGTTTCTTTGTCGGTGTTGATGTGGAGAGTGTCTGGTTTGCCTACTCTGGAACATGCAACATATCATTGTCCTTCTTCAGGAGTCCCTTTCAAATCTATGATACTATATTTATGTGTGTGTGAATATATCTATCTATCTATCTATGGCTGGATGGCTCTTTGTCAGGAGGGCTTTGATTACATTTTCTTGCCCTGGTGAAGGGAGTTGGACTGGATGGCCTTAAGTATTTTCTGTTGGTCATGGGGGTTCTGTGTGGGAAGTTTGCCCCAATTCTGCCATTGGTGGGGTTCAGAATGCTCTTTGATTGTAGGCAAGCTATAAATCCCAGTAACTGCAACTCCCAAATGTCAAGGTCTATTTCCCCCAAACTCCATCTGTGTTCATAGTTGGGCAAATGGAATATTCATGCCAAGTTTGGTCCAGATCCATCATTGTTTGAGTCCACTGTGCTCTCTGGATGTAGGTGAACTACAACTCCCAAACTCAAGGTCAATGCCTACCAAACCCTTCTAGTGTTATCTGTTGGTCATGGGAGTCCTGTATGTCCCGGTTGTTCAATTCTATCATGCTATTTGATTGTAGGTGAACTATAAATCCCAGCAACTACAACTCCCTATCTATCTATCTATCTATCAATCAATATCTATGGCTGGATGGCTCTTTGGCAGGAGGACTTTGATTACATTTTCTTGCCCTGATGAAGGGAGTGGGATTGGATGGGATTGGATGAAGGGAGTGGGATTGGATGGCCTTAAGTATTTTCTGTTGGTCATGGGGGTTCTGTGTTCACCCCGATTCTGTCGTTCGTGGGGTTCAGAACGCTCTTTGTAGGTGAACTGTGAATCCCAGTGACTACAACTCCCAAATGTCAAGGTCTATTTCCCCCCAAACTCCATCTGTGTTCATATTTGGGCATATTGAGTGCTTGTGCCAAGTTTGGTCCAGATCCATCATTGTTTGAGTCCACAGTGCTCTCTGGATGTAGGTGAACTACAACTCCCAAACTCAAGGTCAATGCCCACCAAACCCTTCCAGTATTTTCTGTTGGTCATGGGAGTTCTGTGTGCCAAGTTTGGTTCAATTCCATCATTGATGGAGTTCAGAATGCTCTTTGATTGTAGGTGAAATATAAATCCCAGCAACTACAACTCCCAAATGACAAAATCATAATTTGTTGAGTGATGGTCACTCCTTGTGTTGTGAGACGTTTTGTTGCCAAATTTGGTGTGAATTCGTTCATTGTTTTTTTGTTTTTAAGGTACTCATTATGCACAGAGCATTATATATATATATATATATATATATATATATATATATATACACACACACACACACACACACACACACACACATAAAAATAAAGGATTTTTAATTTATAATTTTTTTATATATCAGTTTACAATTTTTTTCAATTTTTTAATTTATGGAAGCATTTATTTTAATTTCATTTGAATTCATTTACATTTATTATTTTATTTTCAATTATTTATTTCTATTTTGAATTTATGGGTTTTTAAAATTTTCATCTTCATTTTCATTCGTTTATTTCGATTTATTTTCAGTTTTATTTTCACTTTAAATTATTATTCACTGTAATTTTGAACATGAAAATGTTTATTTTATTTTATATTTTTAATTATTGATTTTGATTTTTTAATGTACGGGAAAAATGATTTCATTTCGATTTTATTTCATTTACATTTATTTATTTAAACTTAGTTTAATTGTTTTATTTTTAATTTTTTAATTTATGGGATTTTGTGAAAACAATATCATCCTGCCAAAGGAGGCAGCAGAAAGCAATGGAAGTATTATTATTAATTCAAAAAAGAAGACAAATATCCATATCATTTTTTTCTCTCGATTTTAAAACACTTTTTTAAATTTATTTTTTCTCACAGTATAATATAATGGTCGCTTTCTTTTATCTTCTCCATATATATATATATATTTAAAAAAGACATTCTCAAGAGATTTTGTTTAAATGCACTTAGTGCTGGAACAGTACCGTTATTATCAGTATTAGTATCGTTATTATTAAAGAAATCCAAACAATTTGGGGGGGGGGAGGGGGAGGAAGAAAATAATAATAAAATAAAATAAAAATGTTACCACAGAGTTTCCTTGGAGAACCGAATAAAATACCTAGATGGGCACCTTTATCCTAAGAGTGTTCTTGGTCCTCCAGGGCAACTCTATGGTCAAAGTTGCATTGGAGGATCTTGAGAGGGCACGCTTCTAGGAATTTCAAAGGTTTCTCTATGGCATGGGTAGGGCCGAATCTGACCATTGTCACTACAGAGTAAATTCCTAGAAAGGCTGCTTCTCTATACTGCAGAGCAACTCTATGGTATTGGAGGATCTTTATAGAGGACATCCTTCTAGGAGTTGTAAAGGTTTCTTTATGGTACCAAAATGACCATAGTGTCACTAGAGTACATTCCTTGAACTGATGCCTCTAGGAATTCCCTAGGGCAACTCTATGGTAGAATTGGAGTATTTTGAGAGGACGCTCTTCTAGGAGTTTTCTGGGGGTTCTCTAAGGTATGAACATACCTTAGTCCCCGGTGGCGTAGTGGGGTAAACCCCTGTGCCGGCAGGACTGAAGACCGACAGGTCGCAGGTTCGAATCCGGGGAGAGGCCGACAAGCTCCCTCTATTAGCTCCAGCTCCTCATGTGGGGACATGAGAGAAGCCTCCCACAAGGATGATAAAACATCAAAATCATCCGGGCGTCCCCTGGGCAACGTCCTTGCAGACGGCCAATTCTCTCACAACAGGATTCTCCTGACACGACAAAAATAAAAATGCCAAATGTGACCATAGAGTAAGGAATTTCCATGCGGATGATACACTCGTCTTATTAATAATTATAATAATTAATAAAAATAATTAATAATAAATACAATTGAAGAACCAGACCTTGACTTTTTGTCATTTAGCAGCAATAAAATAATAAAGGGAAAGAATAAAATAAAGTTAATTTAATAAAAGTATAATTCAATAAAAGAATAAAGTAAAGTTTTCAAGTGTTTTTTTCCCCCATCCGGGTGTCTTCTCTAGGCATTTTGTTGGTCCTCCAGCAACACTCTATTGTAGGCGTTGACCACAGAGTTGCACTGGAGGACACAGCTATGTCTCTAGTCCTTTTCTAGGTCCTCCAGTTGAACTCCATGGTATAGAGACAGGTCTTGCAATGCCGCTCTAGGCCTTTCCTAGGTCGTTACTCCAGTGTGATTATGGAATACTTAATACGATTCCATACAGTCTCTCTTATCCTCGTATATATCACCCCTCTCTATATATGTTATAACCAAAAATGTCCTTCCTTAGCAGCAAAATAAACCAGAATTCTCCCTGTTCACATTCGTAAGGAAACAAAACAAAAACATTATTATTCATCCTAAAATAGTAGACAAGCAATTATTATCATCATCATCATCATTAGGAATAAGCCAGGAACGAGGGCCAGGCGGAAGTGGATTGAAAACTAGAGTCTTTCCATTCCTTCTTCCCTATTTGAATGTGGAGATGCAGCCACCACGATGACACCCATAAAGACGAGTCCTTGATGACCACTGTAAAGACAAGTCGTTGTAGACTGCCATAAAAACGAGTCGAGTGCCATAAAAGCGGGTTGTCCACTGCCGTCACAATGAGTAATCAACCACATTAAAGACGAGTTGTCGACCACCATAGAAACACGTCGATTGGCATAAAAACGGGTTGTTAACGGCGTTGAAAACCGAGTCACAAAGATGACTAGTCGACCGCCTGTCTTGACTTTCTTAAAGACTCAGTGACCTTTGTTAAAATGGGTCATTGGATGAATCGAGCACCGTAAAAACGGCTCATCAATGCCAAAGAAACTAGTTGATCGGTCGTTGATCATCTTAAAGAACGTTCGACTGCCTTAACAATGAGCTGGGTTACTTGACTGCCACAAAGACAGGTCGTCAACCGCTATAAAAATGGGTTAAAAACGGATCAAGTGCTGTCGACCACTGTCAAGATGAGTCGAGCGCCGCAAAAACGTGTCACCGATCACCTCAGAAACAAATTGACTGCCAGAAAGACGAGCTGAGTGTCATCAAACACCGTAAAGTCAACCACCATCAAAACAGATCGTCGGCCACCGTAAAGACGAGTCAACAGTTGTAAAAACGGATCATCAACCAGCACAGAAACGGGTCGATCACCATGAAGACAAGTTATCGACCACCGTAAAGAAGAATCGATCGCCGCAAAGACGAGACATCGACCGCCGTAAAGAAGAATCGATCGCCACAAAGACGAGACATCGACCGCCGTAAAGATGAGTTGGGTGCCATAGAAACGAGTCAACAACTGCCGCAAAGACAAGCTGAGCATTGTAACCGCTGCAAAGAAGGGGTCAGAGCCCCTTGGCTCTCGTATTGCGGGACTCCAGATTCCACCCCCCTTTCCCAAAAATCTATCTATAAACGGGCAGCCGGATGTGCGCGTGCTGGTGGTCGAGGAGCCGCGGCACGGCGACGGTCTCATAGCCCTTGCCCAGCATCTGCTCCTTGATGCAGGGCGGGCGGAGATCATTGATGAGGAACTCCAGCGACTGCAGGCTGCTGCTGAGGACGGAGGCGTTGCAGAGTGTCTTGCTGGGCAAACTGGGGAGGCCGTTGCTGGGCCAGGGCTCACGGGTGCTGCCATTGTGGTAGCAGTCACTGTCCGGCGTCACCAGAACACTATTCCACGGTGCGGCGAAGCATGGGGCCCCCGTTGAGAAGCTTGCCCCCGCCATTGTTATACTTGCTGCAGTGCAGTTCAATGGTGATGAGCTCATTTTGTCCCCCCTACACGTCTCGGGCGATTTGCTGACCTATACATAAAATAATAATAATATATTAATAAAAATACAAATAAAAAAACTTTATTTATATTCCCCCCCCCCCCCCCCCGCATCTCCCAGGTGGGACTTGATGCGACTTTCAAACTTCGGTCAGATTTTTAAAAAAATTGAAAAACATAAAAATAAATAATAAAATAATATAAACTAATAAAATAACAATATAAAATAATATAAATATTTTATTACTTTATAATATAAAATTTTATTATATATAATAATGCAACAAGAAAACCATTAAAATACATAATAAAATAACATAAAATATTACTTTATAGAATATAAAAATAAAATATTTTATTATTTTATATAATAATTTTATTACTATATTTTTAGATTATTTTATTATAATCTAAAAATATAGTAATAAAATTATATATAATAAAATTTTATTATATATAATAATGTAACAATAAAACCATTATAATACATAATAAAATAACATAAAATATTACTTTATATGATATAAAAATAAAATATTTTATTATTTTATATAATAATTTTATTACTATATTTTTAGATTATTACATTATTATTCTCTATTATGCTTTTATATTATTATAATATAACAATAAAAATAATAACTGTATTATCGAAGGCTTTCATGGCCGGAATCACTGGGTTGTTGTAGGTTTTTCCGGGCTATATGGCCATGTTCTAGAGGCATTTTCTCCTGACATTTCGCCTGCATCTATGGCAAACATCCTCAGAGGTAGTGAGGTCTGTTGGAAGTAGGAAAATGGGTTTATATATCTGTGGAATGACCAGGGTGGGACAAAGGACTTTTGTCTGCTGGAGCAAACCCATTTTCAAACTTTCAAACTTAGGTCAGATGTAAAATATTTTGAAAAAAGAAAAATGTAAAAATAAATAATAAAATAATATAAACTAATAAAATAACAATATAAAATAATATAAAATACATAACATAAATATTTTATTACTTTATAATATAAAATGTTATTATATATAATAATGCAACAATGAAATCATTATAATACATAATAAAATAACATAAAATATTATTTATAGAATATAAAAATAAAATATTTTATTATTTTATATAATAATTTTATTACTATATTTTAGATGATTTTATTATAATCTAAAAATATAGTAATAAAATTATATATAATAAAATGTTATTATATATAATAATGCAACAATAAAACCATTATAATACATAATAAAATAACATAAAATATTACTTTATATAATATAAAAATAAAATATTTTATTATCTTATATAATAATTTTATTACTATATTTTTAGATTATTACATTATTATTCTCTATTATTCTTTTATATTATTATAATATAACAATAAAAACAATAACTGTAATGTCGAAGGCTTTCATGGCCGGAATCACTGGGTTGTAGGTTTTTCCGGGCTATATGGCCATGTTCTAGAGCAGGGGTCCTCAAACTTTTTAAACAGAGGGCCGGGTCACAGTCTCTATAATCACAGCCGGATTATAATTTGAAAAATCTATATAAATAAAAATGTAATGTTCGTTTGTGGGATTAACATAACTCAAAAACCACTGGACGAATTGACACCAAATTTGGACAAAATATATCTATCAGGCCAACTAGTGACCATCACTCATAAAAACACTGAAAAACACAGTGTGGAAGAGACTTAAAAAGCAACCTCCCCCCCAAAAAATACATTACAATGCATGCGCAAAACCACACACACACACACATATATATACACACACACACATATGTATATACACACACAAAACACATACACAGAAAGGAGGAAAGAAGGAAGGAAAGAGAGAAGGAGGGAGAGAAGGAGGCAAGGAAGGAGAGAAGGAGAGAAAGAAGGAAAGAAAGAAGGGTAGAGAAGGAAGGAAGGAGAGAAATAAAAAGGGAAGAAGAAGGGAAGAAGGAAGGAAGAAAAAAAAAGAGGGAGAGAAGAAGGAAGAGAGAAGGGAGAGAAGAAAGAGAGAAAGAGAGGAAAGAGAAAAGAAGAAGGAAGGGGAGAAAGAAGGAAAGAAAGAAGGAGAGAAGGAGGAAGGAAGAAAGAAAGAGGGAAAGAAGGGATAGAAGGAAGGAAGGAGAGAAAGAAGGGTAGAAAATGAAGGAAGGAGGGAGAGAAAGAGAGAAAGAAAGGGAAAGAAGGAGGGAAAGAAGGAGGGAAGGAGAGAAAGAAGGAAAGAAAGAAGGGTAGAGAAGGAAGGAGAGAAGGAGGGAGAGAAAGAGAGAAAGAAAGGGAAAGAAGAAGGGGGAAAAGGAGGGAAGGAGAGAAAGAAGGAAAGAAAGAAAGAAGGGTAGAGACGGAAGGAAGGAGAGAAGGAGGGAGAGAAAGAGGGAAAGAAGGAGGGGAGGAGAAAAGGAAAGAAAGAAAGGTAGAGAAGGAAGGAGAGAAGGAAATAAAAAAGTGAAAGAGGGAAAGAAGGAGAGAAGGAACGAAAAAGAGAAAGAGGGAGGGAAGGAAGGAAAGAGACAAGGAAGGATGGAACCAAAGAGAGAACATCAGGAGAGAGTGCTTCTGGAACACAGCCATACAGCCCAAAATCTACAACCCAGATGATGTCTGTGTGTGTGTGTGTGTGTGTGTGTGTGTGTGTGTGAAGGGAGGGGGTTCTTGCCCAGCAGAGGAGGAGGAAGAGGAGGAGGAGGGTCTTGGCGGGTGCTTCCCTGGTGGAAGGAGACCCCTCCCTCCCTCGCTCGCTCCCTCCGCACTGACCCCCTCCCTCTGCTCCTTGCCTTGCCGGGAAGCCCATGGAGTCCCCCCGCCTTGACAGGCAGAGGCTCGGGAGGCACACCATGCCCGGGACGCGACTACTGCTCCGCCTGGCTCTGCTCTGCGGATGCACGCAGCTCGTGGCCCCTTCCCGAAGGCAGAAGAGCCGGCTGGGCCCAGGGAGGCAGAGGACAAAGCAGCCCCGAAGCTGCTTCGCCCGCCACCTCCCCCCGCCCTTCTCCTGCCGTCGTGATGAGGCCAGGCCCCTTCCTGAAAGCAGAAGAGCCGGCTGGGCCCAGGGAGGAGGAAGCGGCCCCGAAGCTGCTTCGCCCGCCTCCTCCCCCCTTTCTCCACACCCCGCGGGCCGGATAAATGCCCTCGGGGGGGGTGGGTCGGGCTTATGGCCATGATCTAGAGGCATTTTCTCCTGACGTTTCGCGTGCATCTATGGCAAGCATCCTCAGAGGTAGTGAGGTCTGTTGGAAGTAGGAAAATGGGTTTAGCTCCAGCAGACAAAAGTCCTTTGTCCCACCCTGGTCATTCCACAGATATATAAACCATTTTCCTAGTTCCAACAGACCTCACTACCTCTGAGGATGCTTGCCATAGATGCAGGCGAAACGTCAGGAGAAAATGCCTCTAGAACATGGCCATATATGAATATATGAATGTGTTGATTACGGATTGGTAATATGGATGATGCAATTGGACCACGATTTTAGTTAGGAGATGTATTGGATTGTGATTTCGTGTAATATTATGTATTATGTTTTTTATGGTTTTAATTGTATACTGTGCACTGTATATTTTGTTGTAAACCGCGTTGAGTCGCCAATTAGGCTGAGAAACGGCGGTATACAAGGACAGTAAATAAATAAATAAATAAATATAGCCCGGAAAAACCTACAACAACCCAAAATCATAACTACAATAATAATATGAAACGATGTAAAATAACAAGAATAATACGAAATGATGGTCGGGGTTGGACCTGCGGTGCCGGTGGCTTCTGTGGCCACAGCAAGTAATCCATCCTCTCCGAGTACGACGACTTGGCAGCAAATGTGGCCGTCTCATCAGCATACACAACTTGCTTGGTGGTCGGAACGTGTGCTTGGCACTGCCGATTGATCTGGAAGATGATGTTCTGTATGGACGGGAAGTCGTTGTGCAGGAGCGGAGCGGTATTGCGCGAGACTGTCGTGACGTTTGGGGCCGACGTCGAGACGCTCGCCAGGTATGGACCCATGGCGACGTGATGGGCAGGCGATGGCTTTGTCCGCTTGCCCTCTGCACTTTTGACCACTCCAGACAACGACGATGAGGACGATGAGCCAGCTCTGACAACAGCCAACAAGCCCTGGTAGTTGTTGTTGACAATGACGGGGTACGGGCTGTAATGCGGCGGGGCCATGGCCGCGGTGTCGTACCCGTTGACTGTCCGGTTGAGGTGCTTGTGCTGCGGGACGCGGACATTGGCCGGGAAGATCTTGATGGTCAAAGGATGGTTGGCCACCTTCCGGGCGTACGCGTCCAGCTCAGCCGGGCTCGGGTAGCACGCCGAGGTGGTGGCGGCAGGCATCGCTTCGCCTGGTAATAAGAGAGACGAGAGTAATAAAATAGTAATATATGATGAAAATACATATTATATAATAATAATATAATATAATATATAATATTATATAAATAATAATAATAAAATAAAAAATATACATAATAATAAAATAATAATGAATAATGAATAATATAGAAGATAATATAATAATATAAAGTCATAAAATAAAACAATGATATATTATAAAATAATAACTAATATAAAATATAATATAAAAAATAAAATAATACAATAATATAATAAGTTAGAAGGGGTAATACAGTAATATTTGCCTTTTCCAAGTTGATGATGATGATTATTATTATGCCTTCAGGCTAAAAGGGAAATGTAGTAAAATGTAGGTAAAGAGGCAGTAAAAGAATACCTAGCTATTCCAAATGGATAATAATAATAATAATAATAATAATAATATAAATATGGCCTTTAGACATTATTATTATTATTATGTCTAAATAATTATATTATTATATTATTTAGACATTATTATTATAATTATAATAATGTCTAAATAATACGTCTAAAGGCCATATATTATAAAATAATATAAAATACAAATATAACATAATATAAATGTTTTATTACTTTATGATATAAAATTTTATTATATTTAATAATGTAACAATAATACATAATACAGTTTTAAATATATAGTGGTTTGGTTGATATATATATGGCATTAGAGGTCATCTAGTCCATCCACCTTTTAGAATTATGATTATACTAATATAATATAAATATAATATATATAATATAGTTTTCAAAATGTATGTTGGGCTTGGTTGATATATATATGTGGGCCACTTGAGGTCATCTAGACCATTCACCTTTTGGATAATAATAATAATAAAACAAAATTATAAAAATATAATAATAAATAATATTAAATACTACTACTAATAATAAAATCATAATATAAAACAATACATAATAAATAATGCCAAAATAATGCTCATAAAAGATAATAAAATACTAATAAAATATGAATATATAATAAAATATTAAATATCAAATAATAAATATTAACAAAATAAATAATAAATTCATAAAAATAAACTAAAACAATAAAATAATACTAATAAATAAAATAAAATGTTACATAAATAAAATATAAAGAATAATATATAGAATATTATAAAATATAAAATATCACTACTAAAATACAAATATAAATTAACAATATATAATTATAAAATCATAATATAAGATAATAAATAACAGCAAAATAAATACATTCATAAAAATATAAAAAATACTAATTAAAATAATATAAAATAATACTAATTAAAATAATATGGGACCCTTTGGGTTCATCTAGTCCAACCACCTTTTGGGATTATCATTTTTTTATTTAATATAAATAAAATAAATATAATAATAATAAATAATAATAAATAATGCAACTCACACTTTCGAGGCTCTTTATTGGTGCAAACCATGTGTTGCCGGGTAGGATTCTGCGTCCTTTGAAGACAGGCCAACATGGCGGAATACTCTGCAAAAAGGGTAATTATATTATGTAAGTTGTTCATAATAATGAATAATTAGCTGATTGTCTCTCTCTCTCTATATATATATGTATATGTCTATAAACGGCTGCATGCGCCACCATTGGGATTAGCCCCATTTAGCTAATTCCCAATTAGCCTGGATTTCATTAAGCGAGCAAACACTGGAGAAGAGGACGTCTATATAATATAATATATAATAACATCATATATATATATATATATATATATATGCATAATATATTATTAATTATATAATGATAGAATACCCATACAATATTATAATATTAATAATATATAATAGTATAATACCCATACAGTATAAGATAAGAGTAATATATAGAGTATAATATTCATACAATATATAATATGCACACAATATAACATATAATTT